TGCGATATGCATATTAGCTGCGCATATTTTTTGCACGTATGGATATAGTATGTTAAGTATATGCGTACAGTGGAATAATTTTCATATCATAGTCTTAATGCGAAAATTAAGAGTGTTTTTGTGTTAAGGTTAAAAAAAGTTATTTAATGAGAACGGGTCGAGAAGGCTTAGATAATAACGAAGAGGTGATAAAAAGGATTGTCGCGACCAAGGTCATTAATAAGCTACACTATGTATCGTCAAGTTATAATGTCAACGATCAAATGCACAAACGACTTTAAATTCGAACGACACGTTTGGGACGAGTGAAACCAGCGACGAAGCTCTTTGATGATTTAATTTGCGTCATATTATCTATTTCTTCCGAATTTTCAATAAACAATTCTAATATATATTTTCCAACGCAGGAGTGTTCTATTATAGATTCCGCGCTTTTATATCACTTTTTTTTTTCTACAAAGAATTATTTACTTTTTAAACGATAAGTATGCAAATTACAGAAAATTAATGGCTGAACACGATCTCAGGTGTTTTTGAACGTGCAAAGAGAATCAATTTGCACGTATTTTCCATAATATGTCGTGGAAATATAATATTGTCGTCGGTTTTACTCGTGTGAGTGAGAATGTTGGTTTGAGATACGTTTAGAAAACGTGCGTGCGGAATGACTGCGAATTAACATGTTTAAACATTAATTAATAAGCCGCGAAGAGAATTCTACCTTCCCATGGTATTCTTCACTTTTAAACGTCGCTTCGTCCTGTCTTCGATACAAATGATACATGGTATCCAAGTATCGTGCATTCAAGAGAAGAGTAACATTATAGAGATGAATTGGGACGAGCGATTTGCGCATATATGATTTTCTAGTTTAACGATCAAATGCATATTCAGACAAAATTTCTGGATCATCCGATTTCTGGATATTCCAATAAAATTCGCGCGAGACGAAAAGCGAGCAAATGCGACTATTGTCATGTAAGATAAAATACGCCGATAATTACCCGAATGCGCAAAGCATATATAATCGAATACGAGGCGCGAATAGGGATCGTCGAAACTGTCTAGCTTTTACGTAAGAGAGAAAGGAACTGTTTGAAATCGATATATGTGTATAAATAAGTTTGAATTTCGAGATAGGGATAAAACGTGAAAACGATCTTCGTTTACTCTTGGCATGGAAAAGAACGTCATCTATAAATCTATATGACGTAAAGTACATTTTTTTTTTTGCAGCATCGACCATTAAACTCGATGAGAAATTACTGCTGCCGAAAAGAGCGCGTGCGAGGATACATTATGCGAATCATAAGTCGCCGTTGTTGGCATACCGAACTTTACCTCGAATTGTGATATGTTGTGCTGAATGATCGCGTGTGAATCAAACAGCGTCCGTCAACAGCCATCGACTGCCAAACCCTCGAGATTTCTCTCATAAATTCCTCGCAGCGTGCGATAGTTTTCGGAGTTTACGGACGAGAGAGCAGCTCATCATTGTATAATCGGCACGTTTTTTCACTAATATCTTCTTTAAAGAGTCTTTTAATTAGGAGAATCTACAATTTGTAACTGTACTCGCGATCAATCGTTGTCGATCATCGGTACGACGACAATACATCAATTTAATGCCGGATACTGAGGAATCTGGCGACAGAGTTTCATCCTTTTATATAATTTTATCATTTTCCTAAGATTAGATTAAAGGAAAGATTTCCCCTTTCCTACATATTCTTTTTTATAAATAATTTATTTTTCGCATAAATACAAGAGCTGCAATGACACGTAAGCACCGAAGGAATTTGCGAACGGTTTACTTTTCTGAAAGTGGACGCGAGACGAGCTCAAGGACGCCGCGAAGTTAATGTAATATTTTAAGTGAATGAGATAAAGAGCGACAAAGAGCTACTTTGTATCGAAGGATACGTTCTTTTAATCGTAGCGAAAGCGCGAACTACAGCAAGCACCGAATATGGCTACTACTTCGTTTCGTAAGACGTATCTTGAAAATATTTGTATGTAAATGAATGACAAAACAATAAAAAGAGTATACGCTGTACAAACCTTCTCTCTCTTTTTTTATGCAATATGTAATTCAATTTTTATCGTGCAACGAGTTATCGTGAGAGAGAGAGAGGGGGGGGGAGGGACAGAGTACCCGACGAACAAAGTGTGGAATAAAATGTTACAACAAAACTTACGGAAATGTAAATATAATTTTTCTCTTTTTATTTTCTAGAATCGAAAGCTGATATATTTCGAATTTGCATGTTTTTATACGTATGTGTATCGTGTGAATGAAATATTTCTTGGAGCTATTTTTAGACGGGCGTCATCGCGTTCATGTGCTATCTACAGCTGAAGCGAAGGCAATCGCCACGTTGTTTTTCACATGATCCAAAAAGTTGGATATTAAGGATTCTTACAATGTCAAATGTGTGTGTGTGTGTGTGTGTGTGTGTGTGTCGATTAAAAGTTTCAAGCATAATAAATTTGATTCGTAACGTAAGTGAATAATATAATGTAATAATATAACGGGACGGTATAAACGAGAAAAGTAGATAAAACAAGGCTAGCACAATCAGTCTTAAAAAATTGTTTGTGACTAAAAAAAAATTCTGCGAAAGTTTGCAAGACAATACACTTCGGTTATCTGGCTCAATTTGATCAACTGGCCGCGGTATGGTATTTTTATTTAATGATCAACTAAAATCATGATTATTTAAATTCGATTCACACATTTTATTATTCAAGATTGAATCTAAGTTCAATATCTTACGTATGTATAATATAATCATGGCATCACATTTATTTACGACGATGATGAATCTTTCATTACATCATCGAGGCGTGTTGATTCAATCTCCATTTTTTTTATTACACAATTATTTACATTGGCATAATTATCATATATTTATGTCATTACAAATCTGATATCTAATATCTAAAAACAGTGCGTGACTTACGATGAGATTATTTAACTATCTCGAGATCCTTGTATAAATAAAGATAAAATTAATAAAATTTAATAAACAACGAAAAATAATGAACAAAAATTTTAATTTTTAAGAATTTGATTTTTTCCAGGATTGGTAAAAAACATGTTTTAAACATGTTTTAAACAGTTTAAAATATGCTTAATGATGTTTTTAATATGTTTTAAATATGTTTTTTTTTTATAATACTGTTTGAAGCATATTTGAAGCATTAAAAATATATTTAAGAAAAAACACAATACATTTTATTAAAAAAAAAAAAAACATTAGTCTTTACCCTGATTTTTTCAAACTCTCGTCAAATTATTGGCCTCTGAATTGAACATTTCTTGTCAATCAATAAATTCCATAAAACATCTTATTATACTTATTACGAAAATCATTAATTCCATAATTTTTCTAAAGATTATTGGGACAAATGATAATATTTATATCTTTATAAAGAGATAAGGAAATCACTGTAAGTTTTTACGTTAATGTCATGACATTATGATTGCCCATGTGCTTCTAAAATTATTTCTTTCACATCTCTGCACTTTTTAATCTTTTTATAAAAAAAAAATCTCTTCTTTTTTATCTCTATAAATCTGATGTGATGTGATATGTGCAGTTTTGTTTTTGCACAAAAAGCATAATACAGTGTAGCTTAGAAGAATGGATTTTACGCTACGTGTCAAGGTAGCGAATGATGATTCGTCGCGAGGTCAACTGAAATGGTGCTGCGCAGCGGATCGATGAGAGTCCGTAATACAGTCGAACCTCCATAAAGTTAACATCCGTTTTTGTTTTATCCTCCGTAAAAGTCATATCTTAATCTTCCATATAATAATCGAGCACATGTGCCAGCGCATGCGCATTTGTTTACTTTTACAAAGGTCGATCAGTTCCGACAACTTACTTTTATAGAGATTCGGCTGTATACCACACGGTACATACCGGCGACATATATAGGGTAAATTAGAAACTTTAACATTCTTTTTCTTTAGACTAAAAGTGTACAAAAATGTACGCTGTGTTAGTATGAAACAATAAAGGAAAACCATTTAGATTTACATTTTCAAAGAATGTATTGGCAATTGTGACTAATTCAGATTTCTGAGTCTGAGATATTTCATTTGTATATATTGAAGCAATATTTAAAACATTTCCGATAAAGCTGTTGATAATATTATGCGGGTAATTGATTTTTTTTTTAAATACAGTATACACTTTCTTTGTGGATTTGTGACAATTGTTTCTCTTGCAGATGTGATGGGTGATTTTTAATTATTTTATATAGTACCAGAAAGGTACACGTTATCTGTGCAAATATCTTAATCTTTGAAAAATTTTAGTTTATATTTAAAGCTCTAATTTCAATAAATAAATAATTTGGTTAATTCCCTGTTAGCGTAATAGTTAGTATAATATAATTAAAAAGTATTTAGGTTTACAACACACAAACAAGTCGGCTCATTTTTAATACAAAATTAGTTCAGCTAATGTATAGAAATTTACAGGACCTCTAAATATTCAAAAGAATATTTCGTTAAAAAAAAATTGAGTCGAAACTGTTAAAGAATAATTGATTTTACGACATGATAATTATTTGTATAATTTTAATTTAAGACGTAGATTTAAGAGATATATTTTACCTCCAAGATTTTTTTTCCTGACGATGATGGAACGTATTATTCCGATACTGTGAAGGTATGGGGGAAAAAAGCACGGTGAGTCAGTACGGGGTCGATGGGGTGCTCGAAAAGCAACATAGACGTCGGATTCTGGCGGGGATCAACCGGCCTTTCGAGTCGACCGAGCGAGCGGTTGGTTTGTCGAGCTGAACAGAATCGGGCGATTAATCGAAACGAAAGTCAGACTGCCGCGGACTGCCGCTGCAACGCAACGCGACGCGACGCGACGCGACGCGACGCGGCGACGCGGCGACGCCGGCGTTGAGCGTAGCGCGAAGCGTCCATTTTCCGCGAGGAGGTAGTAGGCGTCATCGTTGCCCTCGCTCTCGTTAGTGCTATCGTTATTATTTTTCAGTGGAATTAAGTGCAAAATGTCAATGAGACACGCTGCGTTCGAGCGTGTCGCGAATCTGTGCGATCGATCCGATACTGTATAATTACGATTGCGTTAATTAATTACACGGTTAGTTATTGATCTACGTTGGATACAATTCAGTGTGACTCTTAAAATTATCTCCGAATAGATTTAATCAGGATACACAGTGAGAGATAGTAGCACACTAAACGAAACGATTGTTATACATTAAATTCTCTTTCATTTTCCAAATCGCTTCGCGGATTTTAATTTATTTAGATATAGTTGCATCCGCGCGTGACAGATATGCATTTGAAGAAACACAATGCGCTGCGACACTGCAGCCACGCGTTCAAATGCGTTCCAATATTTCCAATTTTGAGTGTCCAGTAAAATATTACTTTTCCCGCTAGCGTGTTAAATGATTCTTCGTTATTTCATCAAAATTCTTTGTTATTTCTATCAAAAAAGATGTGGCTTTATTGTTCGAAACTTGCGTTTGGATGATTTCGACAGCTACGTTCCTCAAATTTCATTGACACTCTCTCTCGTGCGAATCTTTCCATAATCAAGTCATTCAATTACCTTCTAAAGCAATAATTAGGTAATGTAAAGCCAGATAGAAGGAATCGAAGGCGAATCTACTTTTGTTCGTGAAAGTCGTCTTGCCCAGATTAATCAATATCATATTCAGTATCATATTTGGAGTTATTTATGATGATAGAAATGTATATGTATACATATATGAGAAGAGTATATGTGCATATATACCAATCCAACGTTGCTGACGATTACCAACGAAATTGTTTAATAAATAATGGAAACTGTTTTTGTGCATAAATCTTTAGAGATCTCTTGAGATTGATCAATATTGTCGTGTAATCAGAGATTAAATCAATAAATCTTCTTTCGAAAACTTCAATTTATTAAAATGCAGTAAAGATACTTTTTAATTTCCATGTAATAAAAATAAATAAACAGTACAATGTAACAGTACATACTTGCAATTTTGGAAAGCTGGGTATTTCATTAATTAAAATTTATGATAGATCGATTAATTTTTTTTACTTTTTCACTTTTTCGATAAACGACGTATGATGCAACAATTTTTTGATATTTATTATAAAATTTATTACAATCAGTTTTTAATTTTATTTAATTTAAAATGTTTCTTATATATCTTCGACAAAAAATTATTCCATTCGTTCATACACGAGTATTTTTATGCATAAATAACTCTGAGTCGGTACGTTGCTTTTCGAAGCATTGACGTGATAGTTTTTTGTGACTAACAATAAGAACGAGATATTTTCATCGATTTATACGTATGACAAATTTAGCAATAAGATTTTTTACATTATCGTTGAATGAAATATAATAATGTAAAATTGATCAGCTGATGGATCCAATGTGACTGAAAGAAGATGAAACGAAATCTGACTATGGCAGCGACAGAAATCGAACGCGTATACTTTTCACAGACTGTAAACGAAAGTGTAAAGCGAAAGTGTAACGGCATTTAGAGTAAGACATTCGCTAGATTTCGCGGCATCGCTTTTAAGGTCGTTTATCAAACAGTGCAGAACGTATTTATATTATTCGCCATAAGAAAGAACATTCTTCTTGAACAGCACTAAAATTGAAACATTGCAAAGTGTTAGAAGCGATAGAGATAGAGATTGAAAGAATCAATTGCTTTCAAATATCTTTTTTAGAATTAAATAGCTTTCATTTAACAATAATTATTTTTAAATGATTCTTTTATGTGTCTTAGTTGGAGATAATGAATAGCTTTTTTCTCTCTCTCTTTTGTTTTATATTTTACAAGTAGTCTTAGTATCAATTTCGTTTTAATCTTTTTAAATACATCTACACGAACGACGTGTAAAGACTTTTTTTATGATTTTGCTGGAAAGAGAGAGAGGGAGAGAGAGAGAGAGAGAGAGAGTTACGATAAATAATTTTCATTCTCTAATCCTTTTTTCATCATTTTGTTTTTTTTTCGTTCATTTTTAGCACCTCTGATTGAACTCTCATTGTCCTTTTCATGGCTGACCCGTCCCATTGATCTCTGATCATTGAGATTGAATTTAAATCTCTTGCCAGCGACGATCAATAAGAATCCCTTCATCTTCTTCTTCTTCTTCTCAATAATATTTTTCTGTTCATGCAATGTGCACATTTTTCATTCTATCTCTCAAGTGAGGGAACGTTATAGCGGTTATAGCGGTCAAGTGATAAGACAATGTTAAGGCTGCTAGCGAACAATTCTCGTTGTTTCGCCTAGTCATCGTTACCTGTTATCGCTAACTGGCTAAAAATATTTATTAAAAGTAATGCGTCAAAAATACCACGGTATAATATATGACACACAACACACACACACACACAGAGTGATTTTTAACATATTTCATCACCCATCATGAGCAGGTAGAATCGAACTGAGTTGAAAAGTCCTTTACCATTTTACAATTTTCGCAATAGTTTTCGCAAGCTATTAATTACTAAAAATTGCCAAATATTGAATAATTTTTTACTCAAATACTATCAACTTTGTAGAAAAGCTGCAAGAGACAAAAATTATTTATTTTCTTCTCATAAAGAATTTTTTCAGAATTTTTTAATACCGTATTTTCTTATGTATTGGTAAAAATAAGCAAATGCAATACTAAAAAGTTGATAAAAAATTCTGAAAAAATTTTTAGAATTCTATGAGAAGAAAATAAATGATTTTTGTCTCTTGCAGTTTTTCTAATAAAGTTGATAGTATTTGGGTAAAAATTATTCAAGACCAATATTCGGCAATTTTTAATAATTAATATCTCGTTAACTATTGCGTAAACTGTAAAATGGTACATGACTTTCGATTCAGTTCGATTCACTCTACCTGCTCATGATGGATGACGAAATATTAAAATCACCCTATATATACATATATATGCATATAATATAATTATAATGAGATTTTCTACCTTCGAATTCTTCATTAGAGCATGGAGTATTCCACAGTTATCTATATTTTAAAAGATCAGACAATTATTATTTAGTTTCAGAATTGAAAAATTAAAATATATTCATAATATTAGCTAATAAAATATTGTAGATAAAAAAATATATATATAAAATTAATATATGTAATAAAATATTAATATATATTAGGTGTTGGAATTAATTCGTAGCGTTTTACAAGTGATGGGAAGTACTTTCATTAATGTATTTTTTAATGCTCATGTGAAATAAATAACATTCTTTCATTAAAAAACGCTACGAATTAATTCCAACACCTAATACATATTAACATATCGAGAATAATCCTCAATATCTGAGAAATATCTTACTGTTGAGATTTGATCTATCAAATATCCATTCTTGCAGCTTAATCTCTTTTCAATGTAAAGAATAAGAGAAAAGAAAATTGCACATGGTATTCTTAAAACGTATAATTTTAATGAATTTTAGTGCAACAAAGATTTCATCTAATTTGATGAAATCTTTTCGTACTGTACATTCCCATTGTCACAAACAGATGGAAAATATTAGATACGACTTATTATTGACGATTTATTGCCAATAAAGAGATTGTTACCAAGCTTGGTGACAAGAAGTCTGAAAAAAGCGTGCGACTTTCAAATCAAAGTTGAAAGTTTTCAACTTTGATTTCTCAATCAGACAGTTGGAAGTCGGGGATCTAATTTAAAGGTCGACAACCTCTATATTTATAAATAACTGGGCCAATTAAACATTGAAAAGAGGTAATGAAGAAAACACAATTGATCTTGAAACTGATGGGCAGGTTTGGATTGGATAGAAGATCGCAGAAGTGGACATAGTGGACTTAGGTAGGCACACGAGTAGATGACGACGTCGACGACGACGACGACGACGACGACGTGGAGCAACATCACGGCTATCAGTGCCGTGTTGCGTAGCTGAAGGAGCCCAGGGTATATGTACGGCGTATTAATAGCCAAGTATAGAGCGGTGGTGGGGCCGCGGTTGCTCCCGGGTGAAAATAGAAAAGAATGTTTTTGGAATCCAATTGGACTTGGTTGGCAGAACGATGGGGCAATATGGCCGACTTGGCCGAGCGGGTGGACGATCTGATATGCAGTTTCGACTCGACTGGTGAAACGACCATGGATACGCTATCGATGCTGATATTCGGCTGGATGTTGTTCGGTCTGGTGGTGTTGTGCGTTGGCAAATATGTGTACAATCGTTTCGTGCTGAACGAGCTCACCGCCGCCGCCGCCGCCGCCGCTGCCACTGCCTCCGTCGCCTCATCATCATCGACGTCGTCGTCGCCGCAGCTCGGCAAGGATGGTGGCCATGAGAGTGTCGTGACGACAGGTACCGCTGGTACCATTGTTGGAAGACTGTTTAACAAGTCCAAATTGGTATCACCGTCGTCGTCGTCATCGCTCGTTAATAGGTCTGGTACCGGTGGTGCAGGTGGTGGCGCGGGTACCGTTAGTGTTGGCGGTGGCGGCGGTGGTACCGTAAGTGCTGCTGCTGTTGCTGCTGCTGCTGCTGCTGCTGCTGCTGCTGCTCCTGGCGGTGGTAGTGGTGGTGGTGGTGGTGGTGGTGGTACCAGTGCGGTAGCAGGTGTGAGATCCCCGTCGCCGGGCTACGTGCCGCCCACGCCGCCGATCAGGAAACGATTGACCCGGAAGACCTCCGGTGCTCTCATCAGCCCGTCTCGAAGTTCCAGGGCACTGCACCTTCCGACCGCGACTGGCGCCGATGTCGAGGCTGTGCGTTGGGTTAACGAACTGATCGTGTGGCTTCATCACGATCTCGTCATCCTCAATGAACTCTTGGCCACTTGGGTGGTTTCCCTTAACGATTTTACCGTCGGTTCCACGGACGAGGTGAGAGGACAAGAGTAAAACGTCGATTATCATCGTTTCAAACTCTTAATTTGTTCGCCATAAAATGTGCAGAGTAAACTTTTCATAGAATTTGATTTCGAAATTAGCGCGAATTTTAAGTTTTAAGTCTTAATCTCGCAAAGAGAGAAGGGTGGTGGGATTCTATAAATTTAATAATCAGATTCGTCAACGCTCGATAAAAGTCGAGATAGAAAACTCTTCCCGAGAGGGAATTTTTACATAGGTGAAAAGAGAAGGGGACACACCTGTGTTGCGTGATTTCGAGCAATGATTTCGAGTCTAGGTCAAACGCTCGAGCGGAATACGATATACATTTCTTCTTATTGCTAGATATCACGTTTTAAGTTATAACAAAATAGAGAATATCATTCGTTTCTTTTATTCTCTTTTTATTAGGAAGCACATTTTCAGATATCTTGAATAAATTTAATCTCGCGTTAATATATAGTTAATTACTTGCCGCGGTTATTTTGTTCAACGTATGTTATCAAACAATCTGCGCGTTTGAAATTACCGTCTCATAATTCATTCCATAAATTTAATATAAATTGTAAGCATTATTGAATCACAAATATTCAATGCTCTCAATTATTTCATTTACTTCGAATCAACACACCATTTGTTCGCAAAAAAATTACGAATTAAACATATATATATATATATATGTCTGTATACGTTATATATATATACTTTTTATTGTCGCTTTTCCACAACAGTAATGCTTAATGTCAGTAAATACATTAACGAATTAAATGCGTAAACAAATTGAAAATAATTAAAAGCTGTCGTCTAGTAAGTGATATAATACCTCTATACATTGACAATAATTTCGGCAGCTATAAATTATAAGAAAATATAATTAATATCTTGCGCTAAAATCGGATTAATCTCGCGTGACTTTTTTTGCTTTCCTGTATAGACAAAATTTTTTTTTATTATTTACATAGATTAAGATAAGTCACATCAAAGGTCACTATAATAGTATTGCTTAAAAAGGCGTTACGGTTGGGTGCTGTCCTTGCCACGTGTAGCCGATTATTTTGTTGGGACTTAAAATTTTTAACTTAAAATTTCTTTCGAACCAAATTTTAGCTTAATTTAATTAATTGTTTATTGTGCACAAAACAATTATAAATTTGCAACCTAATTTGAAATTTTTTACGTTACGACGTGATGCATATAATACGTCAATTTGTGTAAAAAATTAAAATTTAAAATTTTTTAAAATTATAATTTTGATAAAAAAATAATTTAAGAAAAAGGAAAATAATTATATGACAAAGTAACGGTAATTAGTAATGATAATTTTAACAAAAACGATATGGTTATTCGGTAAAAATTGAATTAATCTTTCTAAAGGAATTTCAAACTTATTCTAGAGTCAACGAGAGAAATTCCAGATGGCACGTGTATCCAAAATCGAATAGTCTTATGATGATGTAATGTCTAAAAATTGTCTTATTGTGTGTGTCCTGTCTGAGATGTATATAACTTAATTTAATTGATACAATATATAAAAATGGATTACTTATTAGATATATTTACATATATTTAAGTCTAAAAGATTCTTGTTTGATCTAGAATAAACAGTATGTTATTGTTATGTAGGTATATAAACGATACGACGAATTATTTTTAGTTCTTATTCTGAATATGCAAACAAGTGTACCGCACGATTGCGTGCCGGATAAAAAAGATGGCAATGAGATAATTATGACACATAATAAAGAAGTGTGGCGCAGACGTTTCTAAGCGTATGTATTTCGTCGGTCAGTATGTACAGTCGCAATTAGACATTTATATGTTTTAGCATGGAGTTGGTGTCGAATTCGTTCGTGTACTTCCAGAGACTTATCCGCCAACCTTGTCAAATATCTTCTGCGAATGCGATTCGAAGAATGATGTGGTACGTATATTCCCTTCTCGCTCCGATTAACCTTTTGCATTTGAAATTGTGTCAAGATATCAACTTCCTTTTTTGATTATATCGATCGTTTAATTTTATTTTTAGAAACTTTCAAGCTTGATCAACATCTAATGCCAAATGTCATAGTTGCATAAAAAACCTATACGATATAAAGAATTTTTTAGTTAAATCATATGTGTAACTAATTTTCTAAAGCGTTTTAGAACAATAATTAAATAATTAAAGCTCATAATTTTCTATTTAAATGCAATTAGCGATTAATCATCTTAAGAAAAGTAATCATTTTTAGACCATCACATGCGACTGTGAGGCTACTCCAGCTTTACAGCTGAAAGCATTTCGGCAACGAGGGGATAAAGTAGATATTAATCATTATCGAGTCAATGTCAATCGTTTCCGAGCTCGTCTCAACGTCGTCTGTATCACTGAGAAGCTGCTGATCGATCTGAAATGCGATGGTTGGCCTGAGGTGCGTATAACATTGTTATCAACGGATTTCCTGTGATGCAACACATGGAAACTTCCGTCCCGTCATTGTGTAATCACAGCTATTTATGATCACTCGTTCTCGATCTCGACAATACATCGTGTTTATACAGAGTCTTGGCCGTCTTGAACAATAGACATAGAACGAACGACAAATATTTTTTTGTACGAATTTTTTAACATTCTCTATAACGAAAAGTAATACAAAACGGTGCGGTTGCGGTAGAAATCAGCTCAATTGGAGAAGTCGAAGCACTCTTAATGTGTGAATTAATATTACATTCATATTATTTTCCGTATTACAGGTAAAGATCTCTCTAGCAGCGGTGGGCACAATAAAGAAAGACTTGGACGAAAGCCAGTTACAAGAAGTGGTAACGGAAATTGTGGTGGGTGCCCTGCGAGGCATCAATGTTCATTTCAATCTTTCTCAATATCCCACATGTCCTCGATTATGGAGAGAGCCGCCTCCTCAGCCAGGCTTTTCATATCCTACACATTACGACAGTGTAGTAAGTTATATCGAGCAATTGACATTGTCAATCAGATTAAATAATACTAAATTAAATAGTACTCAATCACAAATACTTGCACATTTATAATGTAAATTAAAATTCTTATTCATGATTGCATGATTCTTCAACAAGATTTATAATTTTATATTACGCTTAGATTCGTTTTTTTTTTTTTCGAAACATAGAAGATTATTGTTGAAAGCAACAACACTTGTAAATTATCTATAATATGCTATATTGTTATTATTTGTCCACTGTGATGATTTCACTTATAGAACACTTTGAATTCAATGATACATCAATCATCGTCGCATCAACGTCTTCAAGGACACCCTGCATCCTCGCCTGCTCCAATGCAATACGTACCTGGCGAGAGGCGTTTGCTCGTGAAGGTTGTAAGAGCTATCGACCTCGGCGGTCAAAAAGGAGCTGTGGAACCTTACTGCGTCGTGGAGTTGGATGAACCGCCGCAAAAGAATCAGACTTCTATAAAGAAAGACACAAAAAATCCGCTGTGGGATGAGGCATTTTTATTGTAATTATCCATGTAAAATTTATGCGGCTACACGCTTCATCTATATTATTATTATTATTATTATTATTATTATTATTGTTGTTGTTGTTATTGTTGTTGTGGTTGTTGTTATATTATTATTATACCTTATTTTATTTTTACGAAAAAAAATATCCATCTATGTTTTAATTGTATGTTAGAAGGCCGTATTTTAGCGACTAAACTTCCATATACATTTACAGCGATATAAGCCACAACACGAGCGAAGTGTTATTAGAGGTGTTCGATCATGTCAACAAAAGTCAAAGATTCTTGGGGCTAGGAATCGTAGGCGTCGAGGAACTTGTCATAAATCCGAGTCAACGGCAAATTATACCTCTTCAGGCACGGCCATACGAGCAAGATGATATTACAGGCACCCTCACGGTGGAGGTAACCCTCATTAAAGCGTTCTGATTAATTTTTATTTTACGC